AGAAATAAATTCTAATGTATAATGTTATGTGATGAAGCAAAATACAATTTGAACAGATAATATCAATTATTATTTGAAAAATTAAATAATCATTAAATATCATATTAGTTGGATATTCAGAAAATGAAAAAAAGACAAATAAAATAAAAAATATAAGGTCGTTAACGACAAATTAATGTCAAAAAATAACATTAACACTTTCTAAAAATGAATTAAAATATGTATTTGAAATAATTTACAGCCCATTCGTCGAATTAGAAAAAGGTTAATAAAAAACAATTCTTCATTAATTATACGTTTCGACACTTAATGTGTGTCATCATTCATCTAATCAAACCAGGTCAAAAATGAGAATTTAAAACACGCTTAAAAAAGTAACTTTTATAAAAAAACAACACTTAAAAATTTAAATCAAAAACTAAAAAAAGAGATGAAGTAGAAAACAGGTATGCTTATCAATTAACAATCGAAACTGGAAACTTTACTTTTAATATAATTTAGAAATAAATATTACAATACACATTTGAAAGAAAATACATAAGAATTTATCTCATATAGAAATCTCTGTCAGGTCAAGAAAAGAAACCCATTGCTCTCAGCTGAAAACTCTTACAAAATCGATATTTAATTTCCGTTCGATTTTATCGAAATTGATGAGTGATGAGGTTACATCACATCGAACATAAAATTTAGTCTGAACATTTCTAGAGTTTTCGAACTATAAAGATGATATCAAGGTATCAAGAAAAAAATTCTAATTTTAAAAAATGATATCGAAAAGATTGCAGAAAATTTATTTAATTCAAAGAATTGATGTTAAAAAAATCGGCCACAATATTAAATTTCATTTGTATTTTAACCTTTACGAAATAATATTTGTAATTTTAAATTTTTGCAATTTTTAAAATTAACGTCAAGTACTTTTGGATAATAATATTTACAATATTCTGTGAGTAATAAATGAATGAACTATATAGCGATAAACAAATTTTTAACTTATTTCGTCGATTTGCTAGCTATTCCGCTTTAAAGAATATAACTTTTTCCTGGTGTTTCATTGATAACACATACGTAAAGTTAAATTTTATGTGCACAACGTCTAATCGCACAGAAAAGACATTGCTTTTTGACAGTTCGTTACTATCAACTCATACGAATATAGACACATAACATAGCGTTACTGTGATGAATTTCACATGGAATACAATGAGCTAACATAGACACAACCAGCACAAAGTTTTAAGTAGCCGACTGTCTCTGTACTCGTCCGTTCTACATTTTTCCAGTAAAAAGTGTCGGACAATCTACAATCCACACATGACCCAGACAGAAAAGAATGTTATCAGTTGATGTTTATAGTTTGCTTGTTTTTTTTTTCTCCCACCGCTGCCACCATAATTTAGTCGAGTCACTGTGGCGGCCTCTGGCAGAGACTCATTTAAACTCGGGATGTCGAAATCGATACTGACGATGACTACATCTACATCACACCAAACCAGACAAGACCTGACCAGACAAAAGTCGAGACGATTTCATTTATTATTATGGTATTAATGTAATCTGCAAGATCTTCGAAACAGAAAGTTCGCTCCCGATTAGGACGGATTGAAGGACTGACCTCCGAGAGCGAGAAATCAATATTTGTGTTGTGTCCTAAATAGTCAGGAATATTTCGCGACAAGTTGTTATTGATATGCAAGACAAATATGTACACTGAAGATTCCACAAAGACTTTGACCTAAATTAAACAATGTACTATTACACACGATGTAACATTGGCAAATGGTTCCAGTTGTATGTAATTTGTGCAAACAGTTATGTTGAATACAAATATATTAATTTTATTATATTCAGGAGTAAAATTGTTATTGATATGCGTAATGAAGGTTACACAATGACTATGACCTACATTACTGTACCAAAATCTTAACTAAATTAACTAATCTTAACTAAAATAATTTCCCTTGCAAGAGCTCTATACTTATTTATTTTTCCCAAGAATGTTACATCTATAAAATGATTTTGCAAGTTTTATTGAAAGAAAATATTTAAATCTAACTCTGTTTTTCTTCTAATAATTGAATGAATCCCTAAAAAACTTTGTTCTATCATTATATAACTTTTACCAACCCAAATATATATGTGTTTGTAATGCTTCGAATAAGAAATCCTTATAAAAAGTAAAATGTTTTTTGAAAGTATTTTGGACGTTTCGTAACTAGATATGCTCCAGCTTCAGATTTTTTTGTATTAAGTATAAAACAAGCGAAAATATATATTTTAATAAGATCATGATCTAGTAACCACGATAAGATTGAAACCTACTTCGACAAGCTTGATATCCAGCAGCAGCAATAATAAATAAATACAAAAAGTATTTAAAGAATAAATAGTAATTAGTATAAATATTTCAATAAGAACGTGATCTTGAACCATGATAAGTTCGAAACCTGCTTCGACGAGCTTGATATCAAGCAGTAGCAATACCAGAATTTCACTGGAGATTAAAAATCTTAAATTCAAATGAATTTAGCGTTTCGAGACTTTGATGTAATATAAAATCGTACCATTGGGTTACTGTCTAGAAACATTAGGTTAAGGATTTAAATCACTACGACTTATAGAAGACATAGTTCTGATTTTAGATATATAATAAGAAAATAATAAGAATAATATAATAAGAAGTTGAAAATCATAATTTTAATAATAAAAATGTAACAACAAAAAAATGAAAGGATTGCTCTATGTAAAATCATGTTCAAAGTAAAAAAAATTTATTTTAAATTTTATGTGTATGAATTTCATATAAATGATTTTGCATTAAAATTAAATACACTATTTTATTTAAGATAAAAATTACTATTTTATTATAAAATAAATAAAACTTGTTATTAGATGTTAAGGATAAATAAAATTTATATTGAAGTTAAATAAAATATGTTGAATTTAACTTAAGTTAAAATCATCAATTACCAAATATACTCAAAAAAAAATCGATTTGCAAGAGAGCACATTTCACAATTGATGCTGTATCGCAGAATTTACAAAAATAATAAATTAGTGTTTCTAATCTCATATTTTTTGTAAATTTTGTCTATCTTCAAATCGACCTTGTCATCCCACTTTTAACACTAAATCAAAATTATCGTCACTTGAAAAAAGCGATTACGAAGTTTTAGAAAACGATCAAAACATATTTTTGCAAATATTATATATATATATATATATGTGTGTGTGTGTGTATGTGTGTACCATGTGTATACTTTAAGTAATATAACTGTGAACATAAGCAAGTTGTATGTTTTGTCTAGAGAGCGATAGTGTAAGGTCCTGACCTTACCAACACTCGTTTAAGTGCCACTGTGCGATACTTTTGAATAATATTAATATAAATTTTATTATATATATATATATATATATATACATACATACATATCTTATATATAAAAATGGAGCTCTCAATAAAATGATCCGCTAAAACTCAAAAATGGCTTCAAAACCGCGTACAAACTTTACATTTTTGATTTTTTTTTGCTGTAGAAGCGTAATTTAAATAAAACAATGGACGGTGGCTAATACGTCAAATGTCAAACGTTTTCGACAGATGATGCTCAATTACGTTTAATAGGATGTTTTACGTGAATATTATTTAATTATGACTAAATTGTAGTAAGTAGTTTTGTTCGTAGTTATTATTTATACACAAAACCGTTATTAAACGGATCGCAAGTATTGCTAGAAACTCAAAATATCAACTTTTTTGAAATGTTAATATGAAAATGCACTTTTTGGCATATTTTTCTCAAACACGGTGCTCTGAAAGATCTCATTTGTATAATTATATACTGATTGGTATTTATAAAACATTTTCTAGGTTATATTATTTTTTTATGTATGTTATTCAAATTCAAAACCTTTGGTATCGAACATTTTGTCGAATAACATTTTCCCAGTTATAATTTCCCAGAATTTATCGAAGAGTAGATAGTAATATATGAAGGTCCGGGTTTAAAAAGGTCCACCATCGATGTGCCAAAAACCAGTAATGTTAAGCATTGTTTAACAACAATATTTAAAAGTAGAGGGCAAAGGATGTATAACCAGCTATAACCTTGATTCTTATGACTTTGCTATCGGGAGATAAACGGTAATCTTTGAAAGTCCATAATAAAAGTATTTTCGTCCGTTGGTAGTTTTTTAGCATTAGTTCAAAATGTAATTATTTTGTAAAATACCTTTAAAATTAAAATAAGACATTAAACCTATAGGGTTAAGAGGTCTAGATAACAAATTTTTGAAAGATATCAAAAAACACATTTTTACAATGATGAAGTAGCTGCCAGTTTTACTGAACGTAGTCAGATAATTGTTTGTTTGAAATGTGTTATTTGTTGTGATGTAATTGTTTTGGTTTCCACAATATAGTTTATATTTACTCAAAGTCAAATTGGACCTTTGTGCCTCGCCCTGCTCTACACATATACTTTTTATTAAATTTACTTTAATTTATCGAATGTTACTTGAAACTTTTCAAAAAGCAGGTCAAAGACGAAATGCTTAATTCATTTTCTATCTCTCCTCGCAGAAATTTGAAAATTTTGTATAAGCTCAGTAGTATTATTTACAATTATACACAAAATCCAGAATCCAAACAGAATCTGAAAGACTTGAAACATAATCAGTAAGTGGAAAGACCAAAAAATACTTGGATGGATTATACCATATTTTCTATAGAAAGTGTATAAAACTTTCAGTTTGATTGTATTGGCAAAATATAGACAAACTAAATGGGGTTTATTGTTTTTATAATACCTTATTGTATATAGCATTGCATTCAAATAACACATCCTTATACACTTAAAGTATTAATTTTATTGATTCTCTAGAAATTGTTTAGAATATAGCATACTTAGCAATACAACGTTTGCCGGGTCGGCTAGTATATATATACATATATGTCAATTGCAATTTTGACTAAATTTCAATTTCTTCTTTCCCAGATGCTCTCGGTACAGTCACCGAGCACGGCCGGCATGGACCGTCTCATCGGAACCTCCATAGGAGCCTCCAACGGCGGGGGCTCCTCAATGAGCTCCTCCGGCTCCTCTGCCGGACCGCCACTGGTCGTAGTCGTCGGAGCAGGAGTCAAGGCGAGACGAGGAGCAGGAGGAGGAGGAGGAGGAGGTTCCGGAGGCTCAACAGTCGGAGGAGACAGCGGGAGGCTGGACGAAAAGTAAGTCGAAGATGATAATCATTTTTATATAGAATGTCCCAGAACTCAACGTCAATTGATAGTATTGACAATGAGGCATCACGAGTTGGCCTATCTATTTTGAATAAATACGTTTCTAATACTGGTGACCCCGACATTTGGCTATTTATATCATATAAGGGGCCGTTCAAGTATTACATAAGCACTATAGGGGGGCGGGGGTATGTTGATTTGCTTATTTTGGGTTGACATGGGGGGCAGGATAGTCTGGATGATTATTACGTCATAGGTAATATTTTTATTTTTTTACATTAATTGCAAAATGTTTACGTAAGCATGGGGGTAGGGGGTAAGAGCTTTGCTTGCTTTGCTTACTTTTGCTGACAAGGGGATGGGGGGGGGGTAAATAATTGTAATAAATCTGCTTACGTAATACTTGAACGATGCCTAACCTACAAAAGCTTGCTTAGAAGTAAAAAACACTCACCATACGTTGACCACGTCCAGATTTTTCTGCAACATCTTGTTATCATTTAGCACTTTTTCACCTGAAACAAAAGGAAAACAATTGTTAAATTTAACATTAATTTTTTTTTGCATATTTAACTTTGGATTTCTAGAGTAACCATTAATAAAAATGATCTTAAACCCAGTGTTAGTGGATTCACATAATAGTTATCTTTATAAGACTACCGTAGTTGCATAATAAACCAATGTTATGGCGAAGTTGTGTTGTGAAGAACTTTTCATACTAAATATTGACAAAAGCCATGTGAATGCTGTGCAGTCAGGCGTATTTCTCAGGTTGTCAGATAGAAAACCTAACCCAGAAACCGCACAAATGTCAAAAAACGATCTTAGACAACATGGTATTTATGACTCAGCTTCATAACATACGAGAGACGTTGCAGTTTACGTGTGAAACGCCTGAATGCACAGCAAATACATGACATTTTGACAGTATGATTCAGTAGCATAATGTATGGAAGTTGGAGCGTAACATCGGACCCTTTATTTTTTTTTTCCTGTTTAATTTTTTGCAACAAGAACGCAGAGTGTCCCAGAACTCAACGTAAATTAAATAGAAAAAATGTAGGAAAAGTCACAATAAATAAATGAATACAAACATATTTAAGAAACAAAAATAAATATTTTAATAAGAACGCGGTCGTGGTCACATAAGAATGTTGAATAATTTTGTATGCAGGGTGTCCCAGAATTCAACGTGAATAAAACAGAAAAAAGTAGAATAGTCACAATAAATAAATAAATAAAAAAAATTTAAATAAGTTAAATAATATAATAATATATGTAAATAATTTAAATAATATGATAATAAAATAAACAATAATAAACATTTTATAATAAGAACGCGGTCGTGGTCAGATATGAATGTTGAATAATTTTGAATGCAGGGTGTCCCAGAATTCAACGTCAATAAAACAGAAAAAAATGTAGAATGGTGACAACATTCAATATATAGAAAAATATTTAAAGAAGCAAAAATAAACATTTTAATAAGAACACGGTCGTGGTTAGATAAGTTCGAAACCTATTACCACATGTATTTATTTTTAATTTTTTTTAAAGGCATCAACAAGAACTAAGTTTGATAATGGGGAGATCCCATTATGTAACTGGCGGTTTGAGTGGTGAATCATTGTACCCCCATAGCATAAGATTAGCAGATGGAGAACCTCTGGAATCCATTCATAGTCTTCTACATTTGAGGGCCCCATATCAGGTAAACAAGAAATACACCAAAAATTTAAATCCATCTTAAAATATATTTCTACATTATCTTTTATCCCTTAGCACTCCGAATTAACAAGATCATCAGTACAACCACCACCTAACAAGTCAGTTTGCGACGTTCCTGTTCACTTCACGCATCATCATCAACAGCAACTATTGAATCATCATCATCACCAGCAGCAACAGATGTATAATAATGTAAGCCAATCGCAAAATTCGCCAACGAGCGGCTGTTTTTCAACTCAAAGGTCACTCACTCATCCAGCCATGTCTACGGTTATGGCAAACCAGAATTCTGGCCAAAACCATCACCCAACCAGAAGAGCTGCGAATCATTCTAATAAAAGACCGCATCAGCATATGTCTGCACCAGTCTTGTACCAGGTAAGAGAAATAGATTCATAAAATTGAATTGAATTTCGCTAACGATATAATCTCATTCTTTGAACAGCTGTAATATCTGTCTTGCCTAAAAAATTGAAGCCATACTTTTATATTTGTTTTATTTATCAAGCCCTGCACATAGCTTGATCTATGAATCATTTGCTTTTTCATGTGAACGTTAATGCAATGATCATCATCAATATTACGAGGTAATAAATTAATCATATTATTAACATCAACAAGCACTTTTATAATTTGGCCAAATATTCCAAATTGTCCATTTGCATATCGCAATCCTCTAATTTGCATGAAACACAACCTAGGTGAAATTAACCTTTCAGATACAGTATCTAGTTTAGGTAGATAATTTGGTATAGGTGGAAATACAAACCCATTAAATTTACACAAAGTGGGAATTTTGCCCGAATTTAATGCCTTTCGACAAGTTTGACATCCAACCTGATTATTTGAATCAATATTCAGAAAACCATTATTAAAAATTTGTTTTTGGGCATCATTTGATATTTTTAAGTCACTTTGAAACCAAAGTCTATCACACACAAAGCATACATAGCCATAGCTATCATTTGTAAATTGTTTTTCAAACAATTTTAGTGCATTCCTAAACAAATTGATGTCTTTACATGAAAGTTCAAATACTTCATTTGACTCTTGCAAAAGATCAGTTCTTGTCACATTATATACAGAATCATCAATTTGCAATTGACGTGATGTAGTTTCTGTATCAGAAAAAGTAACAGCAGTACTTTCATCTAAAAAGATAACAGAATAATATGTCTAAATGTTATTGGTGTTGACATTAAGATCTAAATTGATACCTCTGGCTCAAGATTTTCTAATAAATTGGGAGTAACCGATTATTTTCCTGCTGTTTTTTTGTTTGACGATGTAATCTTGATCTTTCAGAGATTGTAACAGGCTTTGTACCTGCATCAATATTTATAATTATTATTATAATAAATTAAAATTATTCTTCATAGCCACCATAAAAGAGAAACATGTAAACTTGCGTTAAATTTTCAATGAAGAAATATTGTTTCCACAATTTCACTTATCATGTAATTGTGTTTGTAGAACTTAATTATTGACTTCTTGTTTGTTTTGACTATTTCGCTGGTGATACATTTTCATTCTTTGAGCAACTGTAGTATCTGTCTTTTGTAAAAATATTTTACATTTTAGTAATAACCTCAAAGGTATATAGTAACCTCGAAAAACTCTAATAATACAAATTACTTCAATAAACTTACGCAGCGCAGATTTTTCATATGTCATCATTTGCGATCATTTGCACTACAATTATTTATGGGGGACGGGATAAAATATTCTTCCGATCCTGACATTTTTATTAACTCACAATTTATTTCTATTTAACCTTAAAAAGTTTTGACATGACACCGGAAATTTGAACAATATGCTTCGAGCTTTCGGTGACGTATGATGGGCTACGACGCACATAAGTATAAAGTCACGCATCAGAATCGACCCGTATAGAAATCATATCATTGCGAGCGAATGACTCTCACTTGACCTTGGCGTAACAAAATCCGTTGCATTTAGGATTTACACACATTTCGCGTCTAAAGAAGTTACTTGAAAAACTAAATGTGTCATCTTATCCCTTAGAGTGATCCCCATAAGTCTTCAAGCACTCAAGCTCTTCTTCAGTCATCTAGTTCCTGTTCAACATGTTCCAACAACGAGGACAATAGGTTGTCTTCGAATTCCAACTCGTCTTCCACTTCAAGTTTAGGCAGCTCCTGCAGCAACAGAAGCAGCAACTGCTCCTGCTGCAGCAACAGGTGCCTAGATCAATCTACATCGACGACTACTACTCTGATTTGCCAGGAGGTACAACCAGGAACTAGTAGGTAAGATAATGATAAACTAGTGGTGTATGGCATCGTGCCTTAAGGCAAATTGCTGGAACTTCCCGTACCGTAATGAAGTATTCGAGAAATTTTAAACGTTTTCAAATATATTATTACAAATACTCTAGTAACTTTCATTATTTTTCCTACTTTGTTATATCTGAGCAAATCAAATGTAAATCATAAATCAATTTATCTCCAGATCATTAACAATCGTCATTTCATTTCGAATTCAATTTCAAAAAAATAGTGCCTAATTTGCACAAAATTGAAAAAGTGCTACCGTATAGTCACAGTCTAAACGCATTTGCAAATAATTCTGTGCGACATTTTCACTTATACTGTGCCTATTTTGGCGGCATTTTCACATTTTTCAATAGTTTTCACAAAATTCGAAAAGTGCTACAGTACATAAACAGTCTAAACGCACTTGGGCAAACATTTGTACCAGAGTGGCGCTTAGACTGTGCTTAGCCTGGGTCATTTTTCGATTTTTTGTAATCTACTGACGAGCAAAGAAAAAAGGACTCTACTGACGAGCAAATGAAATTTTAATCTAAAAAACGGATAAGAAACTCTACTGACGAGCAAATTAAATTTAAATCTAAAAAATGAACAAGGGACTCTACTGACGAGCAAAGAAAAAAAGGACTCTACTGACGAGCAAATTAAATTTCAATCTTAAAAAATGAACAAGGGACTCTACTGACGAGCAAAATAAATTTCAATCTAAAAAATGAACAAGGGGCACTACTGACGAGCAAAGAAGAAAGAGGACTCTACTGACAAGCAAATTAAATTTGAATCTAAAAAATGAACAAGGGACTCTACTGACGAGCAAACAAAAAAGGACTCTACTGACGAGCAAAGAAGAAAGGACTCTACTGACGATCAAATTAAATTTCAATCTAAAAAATGAACAAGGGACTCTACTGACGAGCAAATTAAATTTTTAATCCAAAATTACAAAAATATTTTATGGAAAATAAAAAAGATGTAATAATTTTTTATCCTCAAAAGCAATTGTTTTGTCAATACAAGCAGAAGGTTTTTTAGATCATTCAAATTGGACGCTTATTTCACTCAAAAACAGCCATTTTTTGCACATTTAGCTCTGTATCTTCGAAATGGCGGGACCTGCCTTTGCCAAAAACTAATTACCTCTTCTCAATCATTACAAATTGAATGTTTTTTAGATCATTCAAATCTGATAATCTGTTCTCTCAAAAACTCGATTTGTATTTGCTGCAATCTTTGCACCGTATCTCCGTAACGGCTGGACCTGCCTATGCCAAAAACTAATCAGCACATCTCCCTATCAATAGGAATCGAATGGTAAATGAATCATTCAAATCGGTTGATCCGTGCATCCGAAAACGTGGACGAAAAAATTCTGACACACAAAACACACACACAAACATTTATTTAGTTTCTAAGGTATGCCCCTTGAAAATGTTCAGAAACCTTCAAAACGTCGAGAAATGTAAAAATTTTCATTTTCAATTTTCTGCCCATTACTATAACTACCCTACGGGAAGTTAATCAAGATTATCACCAAGAGCAAATTGAATTATTGTTAATATTTTTTTTTACCCAGGGTGATGTCCAGTTGTGGAAGATGTGCAGAATGTGGGGCTTCAAGTGGAAGCAGCAAAGTGACTAATAGATACATGAGTTGCAGTGGAAGGGCAGCAAGTAGTGCAAGTGGACATGCCAGAAGTCATTCTTTGTCTTCGAGGTCTAAATCCAGGAATAGTGACAATGGTGAACAGAAGAAGGATACCATTTGGTCTGCTTTTAGACAGAATGTTTTTGGCAGGTAAATGTAATAATAAAGTAGTTCAGTCCAAACATTGAACTTGATTTGTTAAACTTAAATGTTCTCTGTAAAATTGATTTTTTTATAACATGATGTTAGAGAACATTGTTAATTAATTAATTTTAAACAAATTCACCGAATACATCATTTATATAAAACGAATGGTTTCAGAATTACCGGTATATATATATTACATTAGTGCGTACACAACTTTGCTTCCGCCGTTTTTTCTATACGAATTCTTTACAATAATGGCGAAAGCAAAGTTGTATGTTTTCAAATTTGATTTTAAAATATACGAGTTGCTGTAGAGTGCAATAATGTTAGACAATATTGTTAAACATTTAATTTTAAACAGATTTCCCAAAGACATCATTAATATTAAACGAATGGTTTAGAAGTTACAAGCGATAAAGTAAAAATATGTACTAGGTATACTGAATTCCAAAGCGAGATTTCAATGCAAACACTATGTAGAAAATCCATGACAACCTTCAGTTTGTATGGAAACTAGTATACTTTATACTTAAATTATTCATGTATTTTATTTCAAATGAGTTTTTTGAATACACTTACAACACACAAAGTAGTTGTAAGTGGCATTCAGCCTTAAGGCAAGGTAATAATTGACTTAATCAATCGAAATTGAGATTTGAGATTTAGATAAAATTTTCAACTGTTTATTTAAAAAATAAAGCTGTAGTAAAAGTTATTATATTTGATAATTTTTGACACAAATTTTGACTAATATTTTTTCAAATTTTGATAAATTTTTAAAATTAAACTACTTGCCGCAGAAGCCTAAAATTTTAGTATGTCGCTCAGGACCTTGATATCTCTCAACATAAAAAGTCTCATCAAAAAATTAGATTAGATATTAAAAATAATCATTATCATTCCCAACCAATATCTTTCGAACAGTTTTTGATTTTTTAAAATCGATTCAGGATTGAGAGCTAAAACGTGGATGAAAAGTTTTACAATTTTATGCAAATTACAAAGAAATGGCTCGGCGGATCGTCGCACAAAACTGAGAAACGATAATCCTCATCGAGATACATCAAATGGTCTTTAAATTTTTGAAATCAATTCAGGCGTTTTTGAGCAAACATCAATGAAAAGTCTAATTTTGACAAACGCTAAAAAAACCACACTAATTTTGTCAAACTTTGACGAATTTTTAAAATTAAACGACTTGTCGTAAGGCTGTAATATTTTAGTATGATCTAGAAGACCATGATATCTATCGCCAAAAAAAATTTCATGAAAATCATTATTTTGATATTAATATTATTTTACCTCATAATTTTTGGTAGTACAGCAAAAACTAGATAAAAATTAGTACATTTCTATATGAACTTTTATATACAGTACGATATAAAAAAATTGATTAACTCGATTTTTTGATAAATGCAATGTAAAATTCGAGACATTTTTCTACGTTTCTTTAAATATCTCGAAAATTTTGTATCTAAAACACTATTTTTTATTAGTACAGCAGAAACTAGATAACATTTACTACATTTATAGGTTATATACAGTCCGATATAAAAGTTTGGAATAAAACGACTTTGAATTCGATCTTTCATATTCCTTTAGCATTTAATAGAAAATTCTGGACATTTTTTTGGTTTTTGTCGAATAACTCACAAATATCATATGAAAGCAGCCCTTTTCAGTTAGATAGGGATAGGGAATCTAGATAAAATTTATTACATTTCCATGCCAACAGTGTATTATATCCATTTATCACTTTTATGAATTTTTCTTTTTAATTTCTGCTCCCATCCTTGTGCTTAGCACTATTTTTGCAGATTTGACCCAATCCAGTTTCCTCCTCCCTTCAGCACTTCTTTATTGCTTTACATCATAACTAATTATCATTTTCTTTAGGTTTGGTCAAAAATCAACAGGAGATTCATCCGACGAGCAACCCAGCACAAACCAAGATTCCAAAAACCAAAAACACAGATCGACACATCACAAAACGACATGCTCTCACAACTCTCCCAGCCTGTCATCATCGCACCGAAGAAAAACCAACCAGCAACCCTTGCAACAAATGGCAGTCCTGGTACCGGTTAATAATTATCACAATCAATCAGCATCTATCAGCAAATCGTCATCGAATCAATACATAGCCCCACCTGCAAACGTAGTTTGCACATCGGTCAAAAGCAATTTAAAAACCAGCACTAGTGTTCAATGTTTGGATAAGAAAACTGACTTAGATTTAAATAAGAGGATGAACGACTCCGACGGTTCTTCTTCGGAAGATAATTCATCGACTGTGTCCATGATGTGATTGGGTAAAAGGATTGATGGGGTTGAGTGGGTGATTCTGATATTGTGCAAATTGGGGTAGTAATTGAACAAAGTGATTTTGTGAAGTACTAAAACTCATAAGTGTAATAAATGATAAAGGACACTTACTGCTGCTTTGGCAGTACTGGCAGTTTGGAAGTGGATTTTAAGCAATAAATTCAGAAAAAGTTATGGATAGAGAATTTCTAGTAAATTACAAGTTAATGCCATCAAGAATTGTCCAGGAAGATTGTTTGTAAATATAATATATAAATTATCTAATAGAGGAATGTATATAAACAAGTAACTTTTATATCGTGACTGATTTATGGATACAGTGGTACCCCGACGTACGAGTTTTATTCGTTCCGTAACCACGCTCGTATCTCGATGCAATTTTTTTCATATAAGGGGGCGTCCATTAATCACTTGAAGATTTCAGGGGAAAGAGGGGGGTATAGTAAGATATCACGTAAATTTACAGAAAATCACGAAATATCACGTATATTTATTTTTTACCTAAAAAAAATCCAAACGTATTCAAGAAAAAAATAATTTTTTTATACATTTTTGGAAGAGAGGAGGGGGTTTCACAAAAAATGACGAAATATTACATGGGGGAGAGGGGAGGGTATTGAAAGTATCACGTGCATTTATTTTTTACTTGATTTTTTTTTAAAACTCAAGCATTTTCAAAAAAAAAATTACAATTTTTTTGTAACTGAAAATACACGTTATGTTTGGTGGGAAAAGGGGGGGGGGGTTTACAAAAAATCACGAAATATCACGTGGAGGAGTGAAGGATATAGTAAGATATCACGTGTATTTATTTTTTACTTGAATTAAAAAAACCAAACATTTTCAAAAAAAAAAAAATTAAAATTTTTCTCGTAACTAAAAATACCCGTGATGTTTGGCGGGGTAAGACGGAGGGGGGATTTACAATAAATCACGAAATATCACGTGTATTTATTTTTTATCTGATTTTTTTCATAAAAATCCAAACATTTAAGAAAAATCAAAAGTTTTACAATTTTTTCTCGTAACTAAAAATACACGTGATGTTTGGTGGGGGAAGACGGAGGGGGGAGATTTACAAAAAATCACGAAATATCACGTGTATTTATTTTTTTATCTGATTTTTTGCACAAAAATCCAATCCTTTAAGAAAAATCAAAAATTTTACAATTTTTTCTCAAAACTTAAAATACACGTGATGTTTGGTGGGGAAAGGGAGGGGGGTTTCACAAAAAATCAAGAAATATCACGTGAAGGAGGGAAGATATCACGTAAATTTATTTTTACCTAAACTTTTTAAAAAAATCCAAACATTTTCAAAAGAATTCAAAAATTTTACAATTTTTTCTCGTAATTAAAAATACACGTAATATTTATTGGGGGAAAGGCAGGGGAGATTTACAAAAAAATCACGAAATATCACGAATATTTTTACCTGAAAAAACCCGAACATTATCATAAAAATATTTTTTACGATATTATTACAAAAAATCACGAAATATCGTGAATAATAGTGTATAGTAAGATATCACGTGCATTTTTTTACCTGATTTTTTCTTAAAAAAAAAGACAAACATTTTCAAAAAAAAAAAATCCAGTATTTTACAATTTTTTCTGGTAACTAAAAATACACGTGATGTTTGGTGGGGAGAGGGGGGATGGGTTAATTTTGGATCCAAAAGAGGTCCAAAAATCCTTCAAAAATCGATCACGTGATTAATGCACGTCCCCTAAATTCATTGAAATGGAAGCAAATAATTTACTATGAAAAACAACCAAAATATTTCTATAGTAAAAAAATGTTAGAACTGACAAAATTTTTCATATCTTCATTTTACTAGCGAAATTTTTCTGAAAAGCTCTTACAATGCTCGTATATCGAAGCAACAAATGACGAGTCGCTCGTAAGTCGAGGTACAACTGTATTTGAAGAAAACTTGATTCAATAAAAAAAAGATCTCTATTACTCAAACTGATACGAGTATAAAAAATGAATTAGACTGTGAATATATTTAATATACACGATGAGATGGTTATAAAAAAGTCACTATTTTTAATATTAAATTATTTTGAAAGTTTATTCTGGATGAAATTGTTACAACAAAATTAATAATATGAGAAGAATAGATAAAAATAAAAAAAGTTATAATGAATGTCCAAATCGAATGTCATCAGAGGAAAGGAATTTTATTAAAAATAATTGGCGGTGGGAAAGTTTGGATTTGATTTGATTTTTTAAAATTAACCGAGTTTTATTCTGTGTCTGTGACCAAAAAAAGTGCAAGTAAAAACACTGCCTCAAATAGTGACAAGATTTTTAATAACATTTTTGCCTTTATTAAATCCTAGTGCTGTTCACGATCCTACTAAATACATAAGGGACTTTGTGTAATATTTGATAAAAAAATATAAACAGTTATGTGTTTCCATCAACCTTTTAAAAAAAACGTCGACTTAAGTATGTACTTTTAGTTTTTAAGTACATCTCAAACTTTATTTTATATAAATGTAGTTTTGTAAATTTATTAGATATTTATTTAAATTATCTTGAAGGTAAAAGATATATTCATTCAAAAATCTGGATTAACATAATTTTCTATAATTTGTTATTTCAAATTACGTTATTCCAGACATGTATATAGATCGATTCAAATAAACTAAAATTAAATTCAAAGTTATATCCAATTTATTTGATTCATTCTATATCAAATAAATGATAATAGGTAATAAATGTGATTGATTTTTAAGAAATATTTTATTAATTTATATAAATGAATATGTGTAACGTAGTTTAAAATGAAATAAATATAAAAAAATTAAAAGATAGCACACGTAACCATCACGTATATGCGTTTTTGAAATGCGGATGGTTTCTATATTTTTGTATATTTATTTAAATGTAATAATAATCGACGTAAATGTGCATCATAATAGTTAAAGTTTGTAATGCACAAATTTTAATATCTCAATTTATACATATTGATACATATTATATATATTTAAAAATATACATATATATATATATGAGTAGGTTTTAAGATAACACATAAAATCAGGCAAAGATTTATAAATTAATTCTTAAGTTTTCCAAACACTTCAACATCAAATTTTAATTTTAAGTAAGGTTTACCTGTTCCAAAATAATATTATATAAATTTAGAAACTCCATTAAGTATCACCTGATTAATTTCGAAAAGTTAGGACATATCATTTCCTTTGTTAACGATGTTTTTATCAATATTAATCAAACAGGATTCGGCAAAACGTGAATAATGCTTTTTATTATAAAAGTTGAAAGAATGATTAAAATTTTCAGCATGGTCTGTAGATAAATGGAAAATAATGTTGTTAAGTGGAAATAAATTTAAAAATATTATTAAAAATGACCTCATAATTCTTGCAGATTAAGAAAGTATCATTTCTTTTGTTAATGTTGTTTTTATCTATACTAATGAAACAGGACTCTGCAAATAGTCTCTGAATAATGTTCTGTTCACGATAGAGTGTACTGTCATTATAAATGCTCCAAAAAAATTAAAATTCAGACTTTTTATCAAGTTTTGTCAGGTTTTATCTATGTAAATGGAATCACAGTCATTGCAATTTAATTTATAAACAATATTTAAGAAAAGAAAACTTGGGGTTAAATCTTTATTGCAAACTAATCTTGTGAAAGAGTTTTTTCTAAACTAAAAGAAGTTCCAAATTAATATTAAGTAAAAATAAATTTAAAAACATGATCAGGAATGAAATGAAAATTTTTGTAGAGTATAAATGTATCATCACCTTTGTTAATGCTGATTTTATTAATATTAATGAAACAGGATTCAGTAAAAAGTCTCTGAATAATTTTCAGTTTATGATAGTGAATAGTGGTATTAAAAATGTTTAAAAAAATTTAAAATTCAGACTTTTTATAAGATTTTGTCCAATTTTACCCGTGTAAATAGAATCACAGTCATTGCAATTTATTTTATAAAGAATATTTGATGTACTTTCTAAATTAGTGGATGATTTGATAAAAGAGAGTTTAGGGCTAAATCTATATTGTAAATTAATCTTGTGAAAGAGTATTTTTCAAACAAGAAAGAGTTTTTTGATATAAGAAAGACAAAAATTGCTGATAAACCTGTTATTCATATTTTTACTGATTTAATTTATAAACAATCTTTGATAGAAAATAGTGGAAAAATAATAAAAGATAACTTAGGATTAAATCTTTGTTGCAAATTAATCTTGTGAAAGAGTTTTTTTTCCAAACGAGAAAAGATTTTAGACAAAAAGAAGACAAACATTGCCAATAATATTGTTTTCCATATTATCACTGATGATGATTTAAAATCTTATGCAGTTATAGAGTATAATGGCGTTATGAAAGTTGAAAGAGTGTTTATGAAATTTTTAATATTGTATATAAGGGAATTATTTGCATTGTGGTCATGCCATTACAGTCAATCAATAAAATTTTGTCCAGTATGCAAACGGAATCAGAGTCACTGCAAATTACAAACAATATTCGATATACATTTTAAACTAGAGGATGATTTATTAAAGCAGAGCTTAGAGTTGCAATCTTTGCTTCAAATTAATCTTAAATCGACCTTGTGAAAGACTTTTTATCCAAATGAGATAAATTTATTCGTATAAGAAAGACAAACATTGCCAATAGTATTGTTGTTTTTGAAAAAGAGATATAGGCATTCATATTATAACTGAAGATGATATAAAATCTTATATTGATTAGTTCATAATGTATAAACCTTTGCCTTTTATTCAATGTATTGTCTTAGAAAAACCTACTCATATCTCGACATCAAAATGAACTAATCTACATATACACATATGTGTATATGCATATATATATATATATATATATATATATATACATATAATATGTATCATATGTTTACAGCGCTCAATATAACATATTTTATAGCAAATAAATATTAAGCCATACATTCTAAGGAAAAATTAAATATCCACTGCC